TGGGGGCAAGATAGTCAGCCCTCCATAGTATCTGTGCATCAATCAACATTACAAGACTACAAAAACGCACCAACGTCATCTAACGGCTGCACATCGATGAATTGCTCAAATTGAGGCGCCAATTTCTAAGTTTTCGAAGAGTAAGTCCTGCTTCGCATGATGCACCTACATTCAAACCAGAAATTGGGATAATATGCAATGGAATATTATCTGCTTTGCCACAAAGAACCATCAAAATTTCCCATACAATATAATATATTCAAACTTACCCGTAATTTGACAACTTTGAAAATCCTTACCCCGATGATAAGAATTATTTGATATTGGTTTTAACCTACAAGCTTATCTTACCATTTGCTGTTGGGAACCGTAATTGCTTTGAAAGTTATGAAGACATGGATTAACAGAAAGAGTCTGCAGTAAGAAAATAGATTCAAAGATGTTGTCAAACGAAAAGTTCATCTGTTCGAATTTCTGAGCACATATCGCTTATCCTTGATTAGTCGATCCCGGACGAATACCACAATTGATCCACAATGACTAGAACTCGTTTAAACATTATTTTTAGATACCACACAGCAATGTGGACTATAAAAGGGAATGGGGATTATGACACAATTGCTGCAATACATTCTCAATTTTCCACATCTCCTGGTGCACATTCCGGACCTGCTTTCTTGCCGTGGCATAGAGAATTCATCAAAAGGTGCGTGTTGCTTTGCCCAGATTGAAATTATCTCAATTAGCAACGTATTGTAGGTTAGAAATAGCTCTTCGCCGTGTTGATCCCTCTTTGGCTCTACCCTATTGGGATTCGTCGCTCGATGAATCACTGCCCTCCCCAAGAGATTCTGTAATGTGGGGAAACGAACTGATGGGATCACAGGGTAGTGATGGATCCGTTCGCACTGGAGCATTTAGGAATTGGACGACTGTAGATGTCAGTTAAATTTACCTGCCTACTGATTCAGCGAAATGACATAAAATTTCAAGGGCTCCCGAGTATTCGTGCGTAACATTGGCAACGTTGGAAACCTGATGAGAGGAAGTGATATTACCAGTTTGATTAATGCAAATGATTTTCGCCTAATCATGGCCTTTACGGCTCCACAACAGGTTACTTAAGAGTTAAAGGGCGTGGAAGCTCTAACTATAAACGAATTTGCCTCTAAAGTGTGATTAAGAGTTGTCCTTATCCAGCTGACTGGACAGCTCTTGAGTATACCCACGGAGCTCCTCACGTTTATACTGGAGGTTTGTTTTCATGTATGTTCCTAACAGAACCATAATTTTGTACATTTGAGGGGACATGTTGGTCACCACAACTGCCACTAACGACCCTTTGTTCTGGAACCATCATTCCATGATTGACTGCATATGGGAACAATGGCGTTTAGGAAAACAGGTCTGTGACTGGACTTTAATCAATAAAATCTCGACTCATTGAACTTTGGTAATAATGGCTCTTGTAAGCAATAAAGGCCAAAAAATGAAGAACAAATGACGCAGCTCTTTCTATAGGTTGTAGGTTTCCAGTAAAAAACTGCCTCATAATCACCTTTGATTACATTGTGATATCGTCTATAAACTTTTAAACATTTCAAAATTGAAAGGAATAAGGTAAGACCTCAATTTTCTCTTTGACTACTACTTTTTCCAAAATTCATACAATGAGCAAGTTTCTCACATGTTCAAATCAGCTGAATAACAAAAATGCGATATTCAATTCGCTCCAGGCTTGCAATCATATATTCATTGTCTCTTGATTTGGTATGCTTGACGAAAGATTAGAAGTGGCTTTACACACCTTGTTCCTTTCGCGGAGTACCCCAAAAAGCTAAGTGCCGTTCTTAAACACTAGAAGTTAATGACTTTCGAAATAACTTACGCAATTGAGCGACTCATAGCAATGACTTTCGGAACGCGACTATTCAAAAGGCGAAGGTTTTACACATGTTTCATCAAATTCTATGATACACTGCTTACAAAATATGACGAATTTGTGGGACTTTAATGGTCGTGACGGATGGGAGGTATCTAATGTGTTGCATGTCGAAAATCCCCAAGCGTTCAATTTATTTTTGGGCAGTGTAGAGGCTATATTGCTTGACTTTCAGTCATCAAGCCTTACACTACGGGTGGGTGTGAAGGATGGGTATCTCATACTTATGCTTTGATACGTTGGAAGTATTCGGAAGGGATGTTTTGAGAGCTTTCTACCCAATATGTGTTATCTATTCACTTTGCTCTAAATGTAGTGTGAAATGTAAATTCGGTTTTTGCCAAATACACCCTATTAATTTTCGCATGTTGTAACTTCCAACAATCTTACGTTCTATTCAATAACGAGATCTCCGTGTACAACAAAACACTAACCTAACAAAATTGTTTTAAGAACTCGAATGGTAACGCCACTAAAGACCTCTGCTTTGATCGTTTTAGCTGTTATTTTTAAGCCTCATTATCACTAACAAGGGTAGCTTTTTACTCAGAGTAGCCTTTCAAAACGACAAGTTAGCAAAAAAGTCCTTTATTGGGAAAAGCTTCTTCCCTCCCCATTAAACGGTTATTCGTACGATATTTGGAGAAAATGCTTACAAAGTGCATGCCAAGATATGAACCTGCATAGGAACTCTGAGCCAAGACATCTACGCCTCAAATCGGTTCCACGATCCATACCGGAATTCGTCTTCTTCAAGGAAAGGAGCTCATAGCGTCTCCTACAAAGCAGTAGCACATATAGAAGAAAGATCTAGATAACCTTTCCTAAAAGACTTTTTTGTGTATATCTCTTTAGCATTCCCTTGTAAGCTTGTTTCTGCTCGTACCACTTGGAATATCGATTGAATTTGAAAGGTCCTTATTAAAGAGTAAATTGATTGCATAGATTTTTGCTACCTTGCTTGCTAATTCAATTAATCATATATTTCAGTCAAGATCTGAGAGGGAAACAGTATATCCACAAGATGATCCAACATGCTCCAGTCCTAATCATTTTCGAAACAACACAATGGCTCCATTCTTTCCCTTGGTAAACCTTGATGGTCTATCAAATCAATACACAGGTTGGAAGAATAGAGTTTACATTCTCACAGATATAAGGATTCATATTTTATTCATAATCCTAGATAATCTCTACCAGTATGCACCCCGACCTACGTGTACAAGAGCAAATTTGAATGGTTGCGGATCAAAGTTAGTCTAGTTCAGTCTTATTTAAGAACACATTTTCTTATCAGTTTTGTAGATATCTTTTCTGCGATATTTCACATGGTACACCACGATGTGCTGCCAAGATTGTATTGGGTGGAAACTGTGGTGGCTATACGAACAGTAGGTCTATTAGCTCATTTCGAACTGCCAAAACGGGAAACTGAATGAGAGAAGGATAGGTAACAAAGGCATTTAATAACATAAAAAAAAACTAAGTCAACTGACTTCTACCAACATCTTGAATTTTGTAGTTTCTCAGAGCTCATTTTAAATATTAAGAAAGTCAAACAAAACTAATGAAACTCTTTTTTTCCTGTGACCTAGTAAAATGAGTGAGTAGTTAGACAAACTGA